AGAATGTAAAAAAAAAAAAAACAAAGTAAGTATGAATATATATCTCTATAATATAGAAACCTACTACTGTGTTCTGCTGTGCTATTAGTTAGCTTACATGCATTCAGCAGCTAGTGTTTAGGTATTAGATTCGTTAAGTAAATATTATTGGAAGTAGGTGTTATTGTTGTTTAATAGCTGAGGAAACCAAACTAGCAATCTAGAATTCAAGACCAGATCAGATTCCAAAGTTCATGATCTTTCTATTGTTTCACATTTATTTTATTTACTATAATTTACAGACTGGAGTTTTTTCAAAAGAAATACAGATTTCTGAGGAGAGTCTTGAGATGTCAGCCAGTCACCAGGAGGAAGTCCTAGTGGAAGACCTGGAAAGCCCTGGGACTGCCTCAGCTTGGTGCCTGGCAGGTGTCTCTAGGAGTGCTGGAGGCTCTCAGGAGTCCTGTGTGATGCCTGACATGGAGCGAAGCTTTGAAAGCTTCCAGCCTCTGGAAGAGGACATGGCTTTAAACGAGGCCTTCCAGAGATTGCAGCACTCTAACAGAGAGCAGCAAATGCAAATCCAAGAACTTCAGTGCAGCAACCTGCACTTACAGAAGAAGAATAAAGAGCTACAGATGAAGATTATCAAGCAGCCAGTGTTCTTTGACATCATCAGTAAGCTAGAGAAGAATATGGAAGAATTAATTGAGGACAAATACAACATGAAGCTAGAGAAGAACGAGATGAGCAGGAAATTGCAGAATTTACAGGAGACTTTAGCTATCACTGAAAAACATCTTCAGGAATCCAGGAAAGAGAAGGAAGCCTTACAACTCCAAGTTGAGAAGATCAAGGCCAATTACATGCTTTTACAGGAAAGGTACATGACTGAAGTTCAGCAGAAGAATAGATCTGTGAGCCAGTGCATAGAGATGGACAGGAGCTTGGTTGAGAAGGAAGGAGAGCTAGAAAGACTGCAGAAGCTCAAGGGAGAGCTGGAGAAGGCCAGCACTTCTGCTCTAGACTTGTTGCAAAGGGAAAAAGAGACCCGAGAGCAAGAGTTCTTCTCTTTACAGGAGGAATTCCAGAAATGTGAGAAGGAAAACCTGAAGGAGAAGCAGAAATTGAAATGGAGAGTTGAGAAACTGATCGCTCAAGTTAAGAATTTGCTCTACATCTGTGAAAATGAAAAGGCTAAGAATATAAAGCTTCAGCAGCAGATCAATGAGGTGCAAAACGAAAATGCACAACTTCGAGAGCAGGTCGCAAGGAATGAGGAGCAGAACTGGGTCCCCAAAGTTGAGATTGCTCAATTGCAGGAGAAATTAGAGGAAAGAATGGTGCCAGATGTTGCCAAGGTATCGCTATAAATTCTGAATCAGTAACCCAGAATTCCAAGTAGCGGCCTGTTGATATACTTGGACATGGCGATCAACATACAGTATTTTAAGTGGATTCGTTTAAAGCCAGGTGTGGTGGTACATGCCTGTAATCCCAGCACTTGGGAGGCTGAGGCAGGAGTGTCACAGCACACTTGAGGCCAATTCTTTATACAGTGAGTTCAAAGATAGCCTGAACTACATAGAGACACCCTGTCTCAAAAACCAAAAATAAAGTGCAGTCATCTGAGTTGAAATTGGAGACATGGGTTTGTCATGTGCCTGATTCAAGATAAATCCTATTTCTGTTTTATTTTAGCTAAAATTTAGCCTCAGGAAAAATCTTTTAATCTAGTTTCCCAAACCATTACCTTTAGGACACCACCCTTCCCAATGCTGAACATTTCAAAGAAAGTGAGAAAGTGAGTGAAGTCGTGCTGCAAAAGTTGAAGAGCCTTCATTTTAAAAAGAAAGATTTTGATAAAGAGGTACTGTTTTTATTCTTCATTTGAAAAATTCTAAAGCCAGGTGTGGTGTTACACTGGCTTTTCTAACACACACATCATAAAACAGCCCAAATGCTCAACGAAGATCTACCTGGTGAGCGGCATGGTAAAACAGCCCGGACCCCCAAGACCAATTCTTCAAGGAATCCAAATGTTTGCAGTGATTTCTCTGTGACCTTTTTGACTATTTTGTCAATAGTCAAAATAGGGCCAGGGAGATGGCTCAGTGGAATAAACACTTCCCTGGCAAGCACAAGGGCCTGAGTTCAATCCCTGGTTCTGAAAAAAAAAAAAAAAATAGTCAAAATAGTTAGAGAACTTCAGCACGTAGGAGGCTGAGGCAGGAGGAGCGCCATACATTTGAGGCCAGCCTGGACTATGTCATGAGTTTAAAGACCCTGGCTCAAAGAAAAAAAATGAGAGAGAGAAAGGAAGGAAAGAAAGAAAGATTCTACCTGTGAGGTGAAACAAAATAGTCAAAAAGGTCACAGAGAAATCACTGCTAACATTTGGATTCCTTGAAGAATTGGTCTTGGGGGTCCGGGCAGTTTTACCATGCCGCTCACCAGGTAGATCTTCGTTGAGCATTTGGGCTGTTTTATGATGTGTGTGTGTTAGAGAACTCCTTCATCTACAAATTCAGAATGATTGCTTTGCGGCCTTTTTGTGGCACTCTCGACTTTCCAGGGGTCCTTAAGTGTGACATGCTATAGTGACTTTAAACTTGAAATAATGGAAAGTTTGAAAACACCTTTTACTTCTTGGGGGAAGACGAGTAAGAGCAGATGTCCTCAGTTTCTCCGGTTACTCTTTTCTTGGTGGGGTAGAGGACGACAGATAAAATCAAGTTAAATAGGGGACACGCCAACCGATGTGAAATTGTGACATTGTTTAATCCGAGAGGAATACACAAGTGATGGCTGACAAAGAGAACAACAGCGTTTTTACATCTGGAGTCTTGGGTCAGAGTCAAGTTGGCACTGCACTTCTCTGAATTGATGTGGACAAAGGTTTGCTGCAGGGGCTCTGAGTAATCCCGGTCTTGGAGCTAAGCCGCAGAGAAAAATAGGACTGAGGAGGAGGCAGAGCCTGCAAGGGAACCCTGTCTTCCACTTCCGTGACTCAGGCCTCTAAAAGTCAGCCTGACTGAGGACTGCAGAAGTGCAGTTTCAGTCATTTCTGCTCTCCTGGCTGCTTCCTGGGGCTTACTGAGAAGCAGCCGGGTGGCAGGACAGGATGCTGGCCATGTGCTTGGGTGGGGAGAGTGGAGCAGGGTAAGTGGCTGGGGCCAGAGCTGACGCGAGATGGGCTCCTAGCTTTGAATTTTGTGAAGTACAATTTTTATTATTCTGCATAGAAATCTCCACAGCCCACATTTAGGCAGTTTGGCAGGAAGTTCTTTAGCCTTTGCCTTTTGCACTGTGCCAGCGGGAGTCCAGTGGTGGGCCCAGGATGTTGCCCCCTCAGAGAGCCTGGATCTCATGTCTGTCATTGTGATGGTTCTGATGGCTTCCTCCAGCTTGGCTCCTTTGTTTTGCGACTTAATCTGGGTGAAGGCAGCAGTGTCTCGTGTCTTCCTGTGGGATCAATGCCCCCCCCACACACCAGGGTACCACATGTGGTAGGAGGGAGCCACAAGCTGGAGCCCTCCTCCTGTGCAGTCTCCACCAGCTGAACCTGCTTGTTCTTCACATGGTGTGGTGACAGTGTTGGCAGCGCTCAGAGACTAGGGGTCTCTTAGTGAGCCATCCCCTTTGCGGGCAGCTTTCTGCCTGACCCATGGCCTCACCTTCGTCTCATGCTTTGGCGCTGGCTTGTGCCTCTGGCCAATTTAAGAGGCTGGGTGGCTGTGTGGCCATCCAAGGCCTGGCCAAACTGGTGACCTGCAAGTGATGCCTTCAGCAGAGCCTTTGGCAGCCAGATGTAGTGAGGGTTATTTGACAAAGCAGGTGAAGTCACTTTGGAGGCAGATGTCCTGCTCTAGGACAAAATTCTTGGGCCTTTTCTCAAATGGGTTTCATCACTTTCTTGGGCCCTTGCTTCTCACTGTCGCCAGAGCTAGGGCATCTTTTCACTTGCCACTTTCTTTCAGTGGCTTAGATAGGAGAGAGCTGTTGCAGCTGGTAAAGGGTCAAGGCGTTAGTTACATGGGGCTTGCTTATGGTTTTCTCTATTTTAAATATTACAAGTATTTCATAACAAAGAAAAACATATTTTAGTCAGACACTGTGACATGTACCAGTAATCCCTGCACTCTGGGAGGCTGAGGCAGGAAGATGGCAAGTTCAAGCCCAGCCTGGGCAACTTAGCAACTTAGTGAGGCCCTGCCTCAAAATTAAAAGTTAAAAAAATAGGGTTGTAGGGGCCAGGGAGATGGCTCAGTGGATTAAGTGCTTCTCTGGCAAGTGCAAGGTCCTGAGTTTAATCCCTGGTTCCGCAAAAACAAAAACAAAAACAAAAACAAAATAGGGTTGTGACTCAGTGCAAAGGCCATGGTTTTAATTCTCAATACTTGAAAAAAATATTTTTTTGCAGCATGCTCTACCTCATTGATATGTTTATTTTTATGTTATTATGTTATGTTTATTTATTATTTATTTATTATGTTTATTATATATTTATTATTATTTATTTATTTTTGGTTTGGTTTTTTGACACAAGGTCTCACTATGTAGCCCAGGCTGATCATAAACTTGTGACACTCTTTTAGCCTCAGTCTCCCAAATGCTGGGATTACAGGTGTGTTCTATCATACCTGGTGATATTTAGATTTTTTTTTTTTTGTCATTTTGAAATAGTTTCACTATGCAGTTCAATCTGGGATTGGTCTCACTAACTTGGTACCCCAGGTTAGTCTCAAATTCACAGTGATCCTCTTGTTTCAACCTACAAGTATAGAGTTTAAGTATTAAACGTTAAGATTTAAGTCAGGTGTGGTGGTACACCTGTGTAATCCTAGCTCTTGGGAGACTGAAGCAGGAGGATGTTGAGTTCAAGACTAGGCTGGACTACATCATGAGATGGTCTCAAAACAAACAAAGAATTAGTACTATATTGAAGAAATAAATAATCGTAAGTGATATCCAGAGAACATTGACTTTGCTTTGTTCCTGAGACTCTAGGCCTGGTACATCCTGAGCAAGGGCTCTACCGTTGAGCTACACACCCTCTCTGCCTTTCTTTTTCTTGAAAGAAGAACTTTAATGGCCTGATGGTAATAATAATTGAATATTCCGACAAGGCCACCAAGGACACTCACAAACTTGAGGATTTGCTGAAGGCATCCCGTCCTACTCATAGCTCATTTATTTCTGTAAATGTCACCAAAGTAGAATCAGCCAGGGGAGAGAAGAGGCTTCCATGGCTTCCTGGAGGCTTTGCTTCCTGCCCGGATGTGCCCTTCACCTCACACCTTCCAAAGCAGTGGTCTCCAAAAAGGAAGCAGCAGGTGCTGGGCTCAGACCACCTGCTTTGGACACCCAAGTTGGCAGATGGACCGCTCCCGTCAGGAATTATGGGAGCCCCTGAATCTGAGGCCTTTCTGAGCCCAGAAGACTTAGGCCTGCTGTGTGAACCCTTTCCTCACACGGGTTGTGAAGACCAATTGTCTCGTGGAGATGGGAAATTGGGCTGCATGTGGTATGAAGACTTCGCTGTATATGTATATATAAAGTACTTGTATTTCCTCACCTCTAAAATATAAATGCTTTTGCTCCTTAGCTACTGAAACATAAAGACAGAATCACAACCTTTAGAGAGTTAATTGCCAGTGAAAAGGCATTTCAAGATCACATCGTTGAGGTGAGTGTAACATTTAGTATGCGTTATCTTTAAGGTGTTAAAATACAAGGGACGATACTTATGGTCTTGGATAAATTTGGAGAAGTCCTTCTAGTTCCAAGTCCTGTACTCCTGTGATTCCAGCACCTTATATAGCCAGTTGTCTCTTTGATTATTAAGCTAGTGCAGCATGTATTGTCAGTGAGCCAAGGATTGTGTAAGTATTGAAAGTGAGCATGAGTGTATTTAATCTCAGGTCACTGGTTTTGATTCAGATGAAGCCAAGAAGGTGAAAGATGTTCCTATCTTACTGGGAGCCAAACTGGATGAGTACCACAGTCTCAACGAGGAGCTTGATTCCGTGGTAAGAAAGACCTTTTGTAACTTTGCTGTCACTTGAAAGACTCAATACCATTTCGTTAACAAGTATAAGAAAGTATTAACCTTCTGAAATTTGCTCATTGAAATGGTCACACACTGGCTTAGTGGCAGCACTGTCTTTACTACAAAAGTAAAAACTAATGTAAGTGCGTATGTTGAATTTTTTTTTTAATGTATTTGGTACAGGGTCTCATGATGCAGCTCAGACTCATAGTGATCCTCATATTTCAGCTCCGCAGTGCTGGGAGCGCAGGTGTGCACCACCGCTCCCAGTCTGGATTTTTTAAATTTTTGTACTGAGAATTGTACTCAGGACTTGAGCTTGCCAGGAAGGCACTGTGCTACTAAACTATATCCACATCCCCACATGTTGAAATTTTAAATAATTGCCTTAGTTTCTGTTAGGACTACAGTCATCAGATTTATGTCATTCAAAGTGTAGAAACTGCAAAATATGTGCTGTTTTTCACCACAAATGAAGCACGTTTCTGTTGTGCCATATGCTACCATATTGTCATCGGATGGGGGAGGGACCAGCAACCTTTTCCAGGTTCTTTTTGTCTTCCTCAATGAGTTGATCAGGACAATTGGTGGGTGTGAATCATTACTGTTTACTTAAAGGCAGAAATAAGAAAAAGGAAAAGAAGTGCTCAGGCAGAAAAGGGTGCTTTGAAGGAAAAAGAGTTCTTATGAGAAAGGCTGCTGTTTAATTCCACCATGGCCTGGACTTCACAGTGAGACTGTCTCAAAACACAGAAACACTTAGTACCATAACAAAGAAGTAAGTAAGTAATAATAAGTTATGTCCAGACCAAACTGGTTCAAGAACAGTTGCTGCTGTCCTTTTGTGTCTGCTTTGGTGGTTGGTCCCATCGGATCTCCTATTAGAAGGTTGGTCTCAGGTGCCAGGCTTGGTGTGTTCCTGTATCTTTAGATTGGCATGGGGTGCAGGGCTTGGCTTGGTCCCAAGTCAGGATCAGAGCCACTGCTCCGCACCAATTAGTAAGTCTCCTCACCTGGGGGTCGCACCCCACTGCCCAGCCACGTGGCCTTCCCTCACCTCCTGCTATAACGTTAGCTGCATGTGACAGCCATGAGTGGGAACTATAGCCGCTGCTTACTTCCAGTGGTCTGTAAAGATAGAAGCAGAGAAACAGAAAAGAACGTTGGAAGAAAATGACAATGTGTTCCTGGAACCGACATAGTTATGGAACAACTTTAAAATTCAGTTAGTTCAAGGGCTGGCCAAATAGCTCAGTGGATTAAAGCGCCTGCTTAGGCAGACTGCAGGGGCTGGGGTTTGATCCCCAGCCTGCTGTGCCAGCCTGGTGATTGAGACTGGGCATGGTGGTGTGCGCCTGTAATCCCAGTGCTTGGGAGGTTGAACACAGGCGGATCACTACGAGTCCAATCTACTTAGTGAGACCCTGGAGACCCTGTACTAAAAAATACCAAAAAAAAATTCAGTTAGTTCAGTGTGATTTGCAATATAGGCAAACTGTGTACTGATTTCACCTGGAATAATTAATGCTGAGTCATCTCTTTGTGTTTGGAGTTTTGAGCTCTTCCCTTCTGGTTATTTATAAAATATAAAGCAGATTATTGTGAACTCTAGCCACTCCACAGAAGATTGGAATTTATTCACATTCCCTGCTTCCCACACCTTCCTAGCTCCCAGTAATCACTGTTTTATATTTAGATCAACTTGTTTAACATCTACATAGGGGACAGATTGTGTGGTATTTGTCTTTCTGTGCCTTTATTTCACTTAACATAGTGCCCTGTGATATTGTCTTCATTATTTATGTAAGAGAGGGGGAAAGAAGGGCAGTTTGTACATCCAAACATTGCTTACTATGGGCTTCTTCCCTGTAAGACCCTGCAGTGTATTTTAAAAAAGATTAAAAAGCATTCTTTTTTATTAAAATTTATTTATTTGTATGTGTGTGTGTGTGTGTGTGTGTGTGTGGCCAGCTCAGCCCACCAGGGGGCGGGGCTGGCTGGCATGCAGTGCTGGGGGATTGAATCACAGTCCCTGTGCTTTGCTAAGCTTGTTCTAAGTAGGTGCTTTAGACCACTGAGTCATCTCACCAGCCCTAAAAAGCATTCTTAACATGGTATTTACTGGGAGAACTAATATAGTTTTTCTTCCATAATTGCTGTAAATATTAAAGTAATTGCTAGAGGAACTTGTGAATATCTTTTCCTGATAATTCTAAATGTCACTTTTAGAAGGCACAGTTTAAACATTTCAACAGTTCCTTGCAACTAAAAATGGACCATACATTGGAACATGAAATATATAAAGCCAAATGTTTTTTAAAAACCGCCAGTTACTTATGCAAGGGAAAATATTCCTCAGGCCCAAGCACGTATCATCACATGCAGCCTCACAGATTTGCTTCAGACAGAATCAAATACATTTGTGCATTGATTATGGAAAAAAAAGCAAAGGTTTGAGGCTAACAAATATTTGTATGTACTAATAGATAGTTACAGTTATTTCGCCGTGTAAGATCAAAGAGATAAGACATGCTTATAACACTTGCTCACCTGTTCTGTGTGCAATCGACTAGTGAGGGTCTGGCTCATAGCATCGCAAGTCATCTAATGCACAGCTCCGTGCAGGTGGACATTGAGACTGAGAGCAGTGGTACACACCTGGGAGGCTGAGGCAAGAGGAGTGCATGTGGGCTGGTGAGATGGCTCAGTGGTCTAAAGCACCTACTTAGAACAAGCTTAGCAAAGCACAGGGACCGCGGTTCAATCCCCCAGCACCACATGCCAGCCAGCCCTGCCCCCTGGTGGGCTGAGCTGGCCACACACACACACACACACACACACACTAAATAAATAAACTTTAAAAAAAAAAAAAGAGGAGTGCACGTTCAAGACCAACCTGGGCAACATAGAATAAATAGAATAAAAAAAAAGAAAAAATAGAATAAGACCTTGTCTCACAAAAAGAAAGAAGTGTGTGTGTGTGTGTGTGTGAGAGAGAGAGAGAGAGAGAGAGAGAGAGAGAGGAGAGAGAGGAGAGAGATTAAATAAGAGTAGCTCACTGTCCTCTGTTGCTCTCAACGCCTGTATTACCTTTCAGGGCGATTTCCGGGTTAATACTTTCACTGATGCTTCTCTGCAGATCAAAAAATTGGGAAGCCTTGTAGAGGTGAAAGAAGACCACTGCCACAAGCTCATTGAAGAGAATGACACGTATCAGAGACAGTTAGGCTGCTTGATAAGTAAGGTACATTTTTACAGAAGTATCTGCCTTTCTAAAACTATGCCAGATATTAAAATAATAGAATTCTGGAGGAAGAGGATCTGAGGTTTGATGATCGGGTTTACCTCAATGGCTTTCCCTTCCTAAGGGCGCCGTAAGGTGTTTCTCCTGCCCTTAGCTAGACGCTAGCAGAGGGCATGTGTGTGTCTGCCCACCTGGCTGCCAGCGGTTTGAAGCCTTAGCATTGCTGTTCCACTTTCAGAGTGAGAATGAACCTTGCCAACCTAGTGTTACAGTTTAACTTTTTAAATCGACATTAACTTTAACGAAATGGACTTGCTCCTTCGCCGACACACACCCTGCTGTGTGGGACATGCTGTGTCGATTCACTACCATTCTCTGTAGTTTGCGCGTGAATAGACATAGACCTAGTGTTGCTCACACCTCTCAACTCAAAATCTAAGGATGATGTTTGGCCCGTTGTAAAATTTTTGTTGCTGTAGTCAAATAACTAAACTCAAACTTGCAAAAAATTTTTTAAAAAAGAGAAAGTAAACAGTGCTGAATAAAACCCTAAGATTGGTTAAAGGATAATTGTGTAGCTTATTTTTTCAAGGTCACATCATATGAGGAGATTATCAAATGTGCTGACCAAAGGCTGGAGGGATCCCATTCCCAGATTGTGCAGTAAGTTGATAAAATTTTGCTTTTCATTTTAGGAAATTTACTAATATTTTATTTCACTCTCTGGCTCCTACATTCATTTCCTATGACTCCCAGAAAGAGGAAAAGTAATGATTTGTAAGTTCAACCACTTCTTCATGAATACAGCTAGTCTGGTTAATGTCTGGGATGCTTAAAATAGAGTTCAAGGGCTGGCCAGATAGCTCAGTGGATTATAGCACCTGCTTAGGCAGAGCACAAGGGCTGAAGTTCAATCCCCAGTGTGCAGTGCCAGCCCCACCCCCCGGGGCACATGGAGAGGGCGAATGAGACTGGCTGTGGTGCACTCACCTGTAATCCCAGCACTTGGGAAGCTGAAACAGGAGGATCACTATGAGTCCAAACTACGTAGGGAGATGCTGCAGATGCTAAATACAAAAAAAAAAAAAAAAAAAAAAAAAAAATTCAGCAAAATTTTTATCTTCCTTTATCAGAGCTCTTCTTACCTTTAGCAGGTTATGAAGGAATTAGTAAGAAACATCCAAAAATGTTAGAAGATATTTTACCATGATTTGGGATTTTGCAAGGGGAACAATACAATACAGGACACAACTTACACGATTGTTTTATAATGAATTGTCCAAACACTCACATACAAAGATTACAGGAAATCTGTCCAAACGCTGAAGACCAATAGATCTGTGCTGGAAAGGCCCAAAGGTCAGTGGTGGAAGCTAGGAAGTCTATGCCAGCAGGATGAAGGGTCTATGCCAGCAGGCTGAGGGATCTGCACTGGAGCCAGGAAGCGACACTCAAGGTAAGAATCAAAGCTCCCCTGAAAAGTACCACAACCCACCTCAGCAACAGTGAGGTCCCAAGCTCCTCCAGCGATGAAGAAAGCCAAGTTCCCATCAAGAAAGCCAATGTGACAAGCTTCTCCAGGAGAAGGAGCAGTGCACCATCTTCCCCTCCAGAGCCAGGAAGCAATACTCAAAGTGAGCTCCCCTTAAGTGAACTGCAGCCCACCTCAGCAACACGAAGTCCTGAGCGCCTCCTCCAACAAGAACAGCCAAGTTCACCAGGAAAGCCAGCACGACAAGGTCCCCCAGCACAACAGCCCGAGAGAACCAGCAGCTTCCAACAGCCTCTCCACCTCTTCCCTAGCTCTGCCTCTTACACTGCCAGCAACAATCCTCCAGGGGGCCTCCCACACCCAGCACCATGCTGGTTCAGTTCAGCTGGCTGTAACAAGGTGACCACCAGTTGGCAATCTAGCACAAGGTATTTTCATAATATTCAAGTAAAATAACTTTGCAGTGCTTAGAATTCATTCACAAAAAGTTACTGAGTGCACACAAAGTTAAACACATATGATATATCAAGTACATTCTCTTATTGGAATGAAATTCAGCTTGAAACATTTCAAAAGTAGCATTCATAAATTTTTCCATTTTCCATGGATTTATTATTCTCACTTTTAATTGCTGTTTCTTCTATCCCTGCCCCCTCCCCACTTTCTGGCTGTCACTAGCATTAAATGGAGAAGGCCTCTTGTTACAAAGAGAGCCCACCTGACATTAGGAACTTTCTATGGGGCTCTCTCACTGTGAGATAAGTGAAGTAGAGCTGTGGGTAGCTTTGTGAAGCGGAAGAAATGGTGAACCACTTTCCTGTTCTCTGAGACCTATGCAGGAAGTTACATCTGGAGTTGGGGGAGGATACAGTGTGCTGAGAAGGAAAAAAGTTGGAGTCCTCCCCAATTTTAGCCAAGAAAGTTTAGTCAAGGCTCAGTAATCATGGGCTTGTGGAATAGCCAAATTAAAAAACTTGGCTTAGCAATACACTCCTGTAATCCCAGCACTTTGGAGGTTGAAAACAGAAGGATCATTACCAGTCCGTGCTGTGTAGTGCGACCCTGTACCAAATACATAAAAATGAAGAAAGGAGGAAAGAAAGAAGAAAAAAACAATATCATTTTGGCCATGTTGTCTTGCCCAGTTTTTTGTTTTTGTTTTTGCTTTTTAATTTAAAAAGTTTTAAATGGGGGCTGGGGAGATAGCTCAGTAGAATAAGTGCCTGCCTGGCAAGCACAGAGTCCCAAGTTCAATCCCTAGTACTGCAAAAA